CAAACAAATACATATATAAATATCCACTTCGGATATGTCTCAGAGGTTTACTCGTTAGAGTTTAGAGCTTAATAAGTCCAGGGGTTCGAATCCCATTTGGTGTTCTTTATGACTAGTCTCCGCTGCCCCTTCAGTGACTTTCCCAACTCGGGTGGGGAGGTGTCCTTCCGAGCCCTCGAGGATTAGTTGGGTTGTTGAAAGGCCCTAAGGGTTCGTGCTATATATCCTGGACACCACGGGCTAAAAATAAGAATAATAATAACAATAATACATATATAAATCTCATAACATACCCATCAAAAAATAATTTAGGCAAAAGTAATTACTAATATGTCAATTTTCATTGTTCATAAATACATGGAGACAAAATTATCCTAAAATACTTTCTGAAATTTATTAAAGTACGCTTACTTTACCAATCTAATAACCATTCCCAGTCTGAAATTTACTCCTCATTGTCACCGTTCTCTTCTCTCTTGCAAACTTAGGGTACGGCACACCATTAATCCTCTTTGTGTTAAAAGAACCAGATGAGCGAGAGGCGCAACAGGAACAAGGGGAGCAGGGGTGCAGACTATCAAACCCAATGGGTTGAGGGTATGGATGCTCTGGCCTCACTACCCTCGTTCTCACTCTTCGCATATGATTCCCTTACCTAGAGCAATGTCCGCCATTGATTTGGAGAAAGTTGAGAAAGGAGAAAGACAGAGAGGAAAAGAGAATAGGGTTTTGAGTGCATTGAACATTTTACTTTCTTTAAGTAAGAGTTTTACATTCCTAAGTAAAAGTTTTACATTTTTCAGTAAAGGTTTTACATTAATGCTATTACCATTTTATTTTGCTTAATTAGGAGTTCTACATAATTCAGTAAAGATTTTACATTATACAATAAAGGTTTTACTGTACTGAAAGCTTTACATTAGAAGGAACTTGTGAGGTCCGGGATTTTTTCGAATATTCGGGTTTTATTTTTCTTGGCGCATCGTTTTGCATGGCGTGCTTTGTTTTATGCGCCACGTGAGTCCCGATAGTCGTTTGAGACATTTCTTTGCATTTAGAGCTCTTAGAAGTGTATTTAGGTCCATTTCGGACATTTTTGAGTTTTGGACTGAGGTCTTGTGTGGGTCCGGGGTGGCCTAAGTGCACGGGAATGGCGAGAGTCTAAGTGAAATATCATTGGAGGGCTTTATTATTATATTTTTATTGGATTGTTGCCTTAAGGTAATTTCATGGAAGTTACTTTAAGGAAGGGAGTAATTAGTTATAGAATTTTGGGGTTAAGTGATGTGATTAAGGGAAACTTGTGAAGGGATTATAAATAGAGGAAGCTTGGCAAACTCCCCCACTATTCATCATCTTCTTCCCTCACTTTCTCTGTGTGAGAGGATTTCAATTTTGCCTTACGTGCATGTATTTAGTTTCGTTATGATAGTAGGGTTTGCTTCAGTTTTTCTTAATTGGGTCATGTCAAGGGCATCGTTTGTTATGAGTTTTGCTTCTCCTCATAGGAGTTGTGCGTGCCAGCGGATGGGTGGACTTCTATAAAGCCCTTTCTTTTGTTGGGAACCTCGAGTGAAGGTTTGAATGGGATTGGTTGGCTTGCTTCAGCGGAAGGAGGTAAAGTCCTTCATTGTGGTAGCGATTGTTCCTAAAGATTATGACTGATAGAATATGGGGTGTGGATCATGGATCGATGAGCTTGTTTTCCTAGAGTCTTTATGCCAACGGTGTTGATTAAAGTATGTGGTGTGAATCGTGTGTTGAGGATGGTTAGGCGACGTGATGTGAACCATGTATTTAGAAGTTTGGTTTGACAACGTCTTGTGGACTAGTGTCGGTATCGTCTAATTTTTTTAGGTTACCTTGAGTTTAGTTATGCAATCTTCTTCTTAGGATTGTGTGAGAGTGTTATCTGAGGATTAGACCTAAAGATAAGAACGGTGTTGGTGTTGGGGTCGGATTGACGATGAGAATGGCCTGGCCAACCATTTCTCTGAGTTAGTCTTTCCTTAACATGATATTAGGTCAAAGGTCAATGATTATTCCATGTGAGTAACGATGACTAGGGTAGGATGCAGTATGCCATGTGGATGGGAATTGGATGTTTTGTCGGGAAGTGAGTTTCATGTAAAATGGGTGTTATAGATCATGCACATGAGTGCGTAGGTGGTTATCCTCTAGTGTGACCGTTACAGAGTTGTCTTCTAGCGAGTATGATGAGTTGCTCAGTCTTATAGCCAATGGTTGGTTGTCGGTGATGGTTTTATATGTGTATCCTTGGGATGGCGAGTCGAGCTTATAAGTAAGTATGTCAAGCAGTTTTGTAACCGTTATCCTTGTGAGTGCCTGGGGCGTTTGGCGGGGAGTATATAGAATGTTGCGTGTTAGATATATCTTGTAGGAATCCGACAATTTTCTGGTGAGGTGTCTTTTGATGATGACGTCGATATGGTATTACATTTTAGACGACTAGCGATCTTGAGATGAGTTATAGTTTTCTTTATGATGAATGTGAGAGAATGTTGAATTTTGTGGATTGCACTATGGCAATGTTTAGAGTTTCCTTGGTAGATTATGTGATCGTAAGCAGCATAAAGCCTTTCTTTTAAAGAAGGTAGATTCCGAAAACGAAATCTTTTTAAGGAGGGTAGATTGTGATGTCCCGAATTTTTTCGGATTTTTTTGAATTTTCAAGGTTTTTTTTCTCGGCGCATCGTTTTTCGTGTCGGGATTCGTTTTGTGTGCCACGTGAGTCCCGATAGTCGTTTGAGACATTTCTTTGCTTTTAGAGCTCTTAGAAGTGTATTTGGGTCCATTTCGGACATTTTTTATTTTTGGACTCGGAGGCCTCGTGTGGGTCCAGGGTGACTTAAGTGCACAGGAATGGCAAGGGTCCAAGTGCAAGATCATTGGAGGGTTTTATTATTATATTTTCAGTGGATTGTTGCCTTAGGGTAATTTCATGGAAGTTGTTTGGAGGAAGGGAGTAATTAGTTATAGAATTTTGGAGTTAACTGATGTAATTACGAAAAAGTTGTGAACGAATTATAAATAGAGGAAGTTTGGCGAACTCCCCCACTATTCATCATCTTCTTTCCTCACTTTCCCTCTCTATATCTATACATATATCATCCTCCATGAATAAGCTATGAAAAGCTTCGATCTAATATCTTACGAGGAATTAAGATTTTTTCAATTCACTGGGAGCGAATCATATTAGAATTGATTCCTAATCCGATCCAATCCGTGACAACCCTTACATATTAATATTTAATAAAAGTACTCTTCAATCCATTGTTAATGCTCCAGCTGAAAATTATACTTTAACTACCTGAACCCTCGGTTTAATGAATACATACATAATCAGCCAAGCCCAAATGCTAACCTCCCATCTAGCAATATTAAAGACAAGTTTGGCTGCAGATTAGACTTGTGAAAGTTTAAAATGACAAGGAATTTGGGGACAAGAGTAAAAGAAATTGGTTTCCTTCATACTGGATGCGATACTGATTAGAAGAAGGAAATCAATTTCCTTTCCATCTCTACAGAATTCTATTTTCTAAATATAAAAAGAAATTGTTTTTACCCATAATAATTCTGAACTTCTCACTAAAATAAATAAATTATTAAACTCTTTTGGACTTGCATTTTGGAATTTGGTGATATCAGTTCAAGTTGATATTTCGAGTGAGATATGGATTGTACATAAGCTTTTGTGGCAGTATTTTTAACTTTTATCACTGATGAGCGACTGAGCCTCTGCAATGTAGCTTATTTTCATGATATATATATATATATATATATATATATATATATATATATATTTCCAGAAGGCAGAGATCCCATTTTTTTCTTTCCCCACCTACCCTAAGTGTATATATATATATATTTCCAGAAGGCGGAGATAACTTTTTTTTCTTTACCTCACCCACCCTTAAGTCGAGGCTTTGGTGGTAATTTCCACAGGAAAGTTGAGATAGATTCAAAGAAAAAAATAATAATAATAATTTTAAAAGTTGATTACTAACCTAAAGTATTTTTTTCAAGTGTGAAAAAAAAAAAAAAAAATTCTACTTTTTTTGTTCATGTGTTAGAATCTTAGAGATCCTGTCTCCATTAATATCCCGTCAACATGAACAAATAATAATAATTTACGCTTTAACACATGAACAAAAAAAAAATACTAGTACTGAATTTGGAGGCTATCAAAATTGACTATAATATTGTCTATCAAGAATATATATTCTTAAAATCATATCATGAACTTGAAGCTGGTTTAAATTATAAAAACATATCATGAACTTGAAGCTGGTTTAAATTATATTAATTTTTCACGCTATATTTAGTCCCAAAGAAACTAAAAAAAAATTGTTTAAAAATAGTTGTAGTACCCTTGGTTTCCTCCAATGCCCTCAACAGTAAATATTTGTGTCAAATTAACACTATAAAATCTTAGTATTTTCACTTCGTCAAATAATAGAATGATTGATTAGATGTATTTTCACTTCGTCAAAAAATAGAATGATTGATTAAATATGTTCATCCTAAAAATATGTTATTTGATATGCAAAAAGCATGACAATTACCATCACGCAAAAAGCATGACAATTACCACAAACTTGCAAGCTTGATCACAGGAAGGTTTCATTGTAACGGTAGAGATTTATACATGCCCGGTGTCCGGTGACCTTCCCGTGGGTAATTACTCATGCAAATTTATCCACGCCCTTAATTTTTTTCAGTAAATAATTACTCATGCACCCAATTTACAGGCACTTGGTGTCGTCCATAATGGCATTTAAACCCTCAATCTTTTATTTAAACCTCCCGATAGGAGTTCAAAATAATGTATCCAAACATATTTTTGAAGTTATTTTTAAAAACAATTGAAGAGTACTCCAGTTAAATATCAATATATAAATAAAAGCTACCTACTCTTGGATAAGCTTGTCACCAATTTGTGTTTTGTCTTAAATGTCCTAAAGAATGACAAAAATTACTTGAATAAAAATCAAACTCAGCCAAGCCCAAATACTAAACTGAATGCAGTACAGATTGAAAGAAGGAAATCAACTTCCTTTCAATCTCTAATACAGAATTATATTTTCAAAATGTTTAAAAAAAAAAAAATTAAAAACATGGTTTTTACAATTTGAATGCTACAAAAGCACATCACAATGCGCTTATGTCTCACACAGTTGACATGTAACAAAAGCATCATCTCGATGGCTATTGATTCCGTGCACAAAGAGAAAGAAAGGTGTTTACTACCGAGGAGCATGAACATTGGAAGTACCTTTTGTTAATTCGGTGGACTCTCTACCTTCAGTTTTAGCCTCTCTGTCAAAATCCAGGCCTTGAAATATGACCCTAGAGGACCGATACTTACTACCAAATGCTGTGCCAAATCCCCATCCAAGGCCTAGCCCAACTCCACAGCCTCCACCTTCAGATCAAAATTCTAGAGAATCAATTAACAAAATAACATAAATAGAGATGATAGCTGTGTATTGCTTTGAATAAAGTAAGTTTCACTTGTGTACCTACACCAACACCCATGAAATTCAAAGGCATGCCTGAAAAAAAATATATAATAAATAAAGCTGTTAGATATTTGAAATAAGAACTTCATAGTACCATAAAAAACAAATTGTCCGCATTTTTCTTTCTCTGTATTTTCCTTTCTATGTTATCTCTCTTTTTTCAAAAAGGAAATAATAATAATAATAAAAGAGCAACTGGTTTAACATATTTCATTATCTTTTATTAAGATGTAAAGTTCTTGATAGCTTTGTAAACATGATTCAAAGATTCACATAGAAAATGCTGTTTCCCAAAATGTTCCATACCAATATATATATATATATATATAGAACACAAAATAAACAGAGCTTATTCTTTTTTTATTTTATAAAAAAGGGAATGCTTTCTGTAGTAGACATAATATGCATACATGTGTGCGTGTAAAAGATAAAGGGCACACATGGAAAAAGGCTTCCAATTACGTATCTGATCCTTCTAACAATGTCCAAACATCAACCAACAACCAGACTTTGTATTCTTCTTGTTATTTTAAAGTTCAAATGCAACAAATCAACATAATTTGCCTGGTTTAACAAGCATATGGTATATAAAGTTCATCAATGTGTGCCTCTGGTGATGAATCAGATATCTCAAAAATAAGTAGGGGAAGCCTGAATGCTAATCTGTTAGTAAACATCAAATTACTCTCAATAGAGTAGAAAATGAAAGGCAAAATACCCTTATAACCCTCCGTTATCTTGCTCGAGCTTAAAAAATAATAAAAAAATAAAAAGCCTCTACCAAAGAGAAAACAAGCCTATACCAAAGCGGGTACAGGCATACTACAGAATTTTCCTGAATTCATAACTTGTTTCTTCCAGCCATACTAATGAGATGGTTATGCTTTTCAGCAAAGATCCAAAGATATAAGATGTAATTAATCAGGCCTCAAGTCCAGTCAAAAATGAAATAAAGTTTTCTACCATTTCTCTTATTCATTAAAGAAATAATCATATAAACATAAACAGTCTCAAGCTGAAATTCATCACACGCAAGCACACACACACACACCCCTCTACAAGATGGACTTAAGGATCCTACTGTCAACTATATATTGACAAGAATCACCAAATACATCTTCAAATTATCTCAATAAGAGCCTTGGTCTGTCGTATTACATTCTAGGATTATATGTGATTTGTAGCCTATATGGCAGCTACTTCACAATCTCATATTCATAGAAACTAGTAAATGGACAACTTCCATTACTAGATTCCGGGCAGTTTCATTGTTCCTGTCCAACTAACAACTTCCGGAACTGATACAAGTAAAAATTTGTGGGCACGTGAAATTTAACTGGACGAAAACCAGATTGGACCCTGGAGTTCTTTATTACTACTGAAGAATGCAGTTTAGGAAAGAAGAAAATTGTATATTACATAGAAAGCTCGATTACTTGGACCGAGGCTTCCCAATGGCTTGGATTGTGATCTGAATCTAGCCCAATTCCCTGAATTTATAATGAGGTACTGATCTTATAATCCTATAAAGATATAGATAAATATAACTATCATCATCATCCTTGCCTTTCTTCCGTACAAACAGAGTCGGCCACATACAAGAATAAACTCATCAAACAAAAGAAGATAAGAATAACAATGATCCATTATATAAGTGGATCGGTTCGGATAACGTATTTTCTTAACAGATTGGATGAATCACCCTCATATGGCTGGAAGCCCTTATGACCACTCAGTTGGTCCATTTCCAATTATATACATGAGGAAATAGAAAAATGTGACCATCAACATATCTGGTTGGACTGGACATACACTTATCCATAATTGTAAATAAAAAATTCTCTTTACGCTCCATTTGTTACACTATTGTTTCTAAACGAGTGAAGTGTAAAAAAGAGTCATTACCAAGTGTGATCTATGTTAATTGAGGCGGCTGAGAGGGGTGGACTAGATGCAGACATAACTTTCAACATTTTTTTGTACAAAGTGGCTGCTCTCGAGATTCTAACCCATATTTACATGCTTGACAGCCCGAGCATTTTACTAGTAGCCTAGTACACCAAGCAACGGCGCTCACATTTTATTAACCACTCTATGTTACAAAAAACAACATTCTACCCTAAAAAGTAAAAGATGAACATTAGAAGAAAAATATTAATATTTAACCATATTCTCATTTCCTTAAAGTTCGGGGATTTGTTAAATCCAATGCTGAGACACTAAGCACAATGGCATACGTAGAGTACATAGCTAATCACTTTTCAATATGTGAAACTTTTAATGTAATTACTGCTACTCCAAAGGCCCAACTAAGAACTTTATCTAAATAGCCTTCCAACAAAAATTTGGAAAAATCATTGTTTCTTGATTCCAGCTTATGCACAAAAACCAATATTTTAAATTACTTAGAGTAACATTCTTCAATTGGCCCCAAGAACATACAAGTCCAGCCTCATTATTACAAGAAAAGTTTGGCACCAAGTGACCCAAGTTTCCTATTTCTCGCAGCCATGACTGAAGCTCCCCAGGACCATTTTATTTTCTTTTGGGGAATTCAAAACAAAGTTGATGGTGCTAGCCTGTTAGGTAGACGAAATGCTGCACAAGCTCCTTTATTTCTCAACAGATTGGTAATCCTTGATTTGTTGGCTGAGGCTCCAAAGAGACAAAAGTTAGACACAATTTCTTACATCTATTTATGTCTTTATAATGGTAAGATGCTCCTTTATTTTCTCAGAATAAGAGAAACTCTGTCTAATACCAAACAGATGGCATCAATATAGCCGCCCCAGTATATAAGAGCATACCCCATGTTCTTGATACTCATGGGAAGACAAAATAAAGACTCAATAGATACATCAAATCAACCTAGTATCTCCATCCACTGAGCAAGTGATAAAAGAAGTTTTTGGTTAAACGATAACACCAAGAACAACTCACTTTTATATAGTACCATAGTTACACATACTAGAAGACTTCTCATCTTTCGTACTGTTGGAGCATGTCATCTGTTGTGTATAAGACAAAGCATTGACTAAGAATTTGTCTTGATCTTAGGTAATTTGAATTCCCAAATCTTGAAAAGGACTAATATTGGAGACCGACAGAAATTTGGAAAATTTTAAAAGAGAAACATCTTCTAGCAAGTTAGGCAATTAAGAAAAAGTTTAAGGCACCATTCTGGATTTGCAAACATAACAATAAAAAATGCTTCAAACTACCCTTAAGAGAACATTCGATATTTTATTTAATTTTTCCTTTCGCAAAACATGAGCACAAGTGCCATCACACACCAAAGATCAGAAAAAATCTTAATCTGATCCTCAATACAGCATATTCAATTTCTAGTTGAGAAATTAGTACGTGACATATTTCTAAACAACTCTCTCAATATCCTGAAACTAAATGCACCTTTATCTACATATTCTTTCTTCCCAGCATCACAGGATGATCTAAAAAAATTTATAAACGATTTGGGTAAGAATGATGTCAACGTAACATAAAGAAACGCCACGAATTCCACAGTTAATTGATGAAGGATAACAATACTAGGAAGTTCGTGCAAAGCACAGATAAGTTTCTATGCATAAAGCAAGATGATTTAGAATGAAAGATACAGAGGAGAGTTATGGATGATATACCTCCAAAACCCCATCCTACGCCGAACCCACAACCGATGCCAAAACCTAATTACAATCCACAGAGAATTAATAAAAGACATTACAGGCAACACGTAAATGTTACAGGTACATATCAAATGGGGAAAGGTGCCTTTTGCAAATATGCTTACCAAATCCAACTCCAGTTCCATTGAAGGTTGTGAGCACCATTGCTTTAGCTGCTGAACAAGTTCTTATCACAAAGAAATCCACATATATATATATACACATACAGATTTACAGATTATATATGAATGAAATAATGAAATTGAAAAGAGTGTGATTATGTATGTACTTACATGTTTGAAAACAATAAGAAACGATTGTTTCTGATTATGGTGCTGTGATGTTATGCAGATTGGGACAGAGCCACCAAGAGATTGAAGTGAAGCTCCGGACTGTGAGAAAATCAGACCCAATTGGGGCTTCGACGAGGTGGATTGAAAGATGCACCAGATTTTCGTATTCAACCAGACAAAGAGGCTAAGATTGAATTGGGCAGCCCAGCCCTAAAAACCCAATTTAAGGACACTGATTACCACCAACTGATTACCACACTTAAAATCATTTTACAAAGAAAAACTGGCAATCCTTTTGAGTAGTCCAAGCCAATTAATCCTAAAGAAAGCTTTACTAATACAGTATATTTTAAAGTTCCAATCGGGGCCCACTTTCCATTAAAAAGGAAAAGTAAAGTTAAAAAGTAAAAATAAAACAAATTTTTTTTTTTTTGGCCTGTAAAGAAAAGCGTCATACGACTTCTATAATCAAGGATAAAATCACGATAAAACCACATCTTCCAAAAAAACAAAAACCACAAAGTACTACAAAAACAAAAAGCTAGCAACTGTAACTAAAACAATTCAAATCTACAGAGTAGAGAAATGCCTAGTCTTTGGCGTTGCCACAGAGAGAAAATCCAATTATTGTTATCTTTTATTTTTTATTTTTTTTTGGTTAAAAGGTAAGTTTGTGTATTGAATAAAGAAAATGTCCATAGGACCCAATAGAAGAGGAAACAAAAGAAAACCAAACAGACTACAATCTTATACATAGAAAGTCTCTAGCTGCAAACCAAACAAAAGAAAAACTCAATATGACATCACTAAATTTCATGCAAAATAACTCAATTTGAGTGAGAGTTAATCAACTTGTTAAGATAATTCTCTCATAATAAGAATCATTCTCTTTCTTTATTTAACAGTAAATTGATGAAAAATGCTGGACATTATAAAAATAAGGGTAAAATGCAAAAAAAAACCTCTAAATTATGGGGTTTTGTAACTAACCTTCGGAACTACAGAAAATTCCCTTGAACTTTTAATTTGTTGCAATTTGCCCTCTCAAGTCACAAGAAAAGTAAAAAGACCAAATTGCCCTCCCTATAAAATGACGCAGTTTGTTGATAATATCAATTTCTCTAATTGACGCCCTAACTCGTGCGACACCATCACAACTCCGCCGCCAACACCATCGATCCAACCCAACCCTCTTTCCTCATCGGCCGCCGCCACTGCGGACGTTCTCCCCCGACTCCTTCATCGCCTCCTACCCAATCTTCCTCCCTACTCGCAACTCACTACCACCACCCACCACCTCTCTTCCCCTCATATCTCTCTCCGAGCCAAACCCAACTCTTTTAACCAATCTTCTCTCTGCTTCTTCTCAACTCAGGTTCTTCCAACTCACCCACCACTCAATACCCTCCTAACTCGCTCGCTCAGGCGAATCCGATTCACTCTCTCTCTTCAACCTCCCTCACGATTAGAAACAGCTGTTTGTCCCAAAAAAATTGGCCCCTCTATTATGACAGCGATGACGACGAAGATGACGGTGGAATGGATGACTTGTTCTGCTTCAACTCGTCTTGTTCTACTGGAGGTTGTCGGAGCGCTATCCTGCGCAGTGGATTTTGAGAACCCGTTCCGGATTCTCAATTTTAAGGCGGCTAAGGAGTATATATATCCCCATTTGGGATTTCTTTCTTTTCAAAGTTTGATTAGTGAGCATCATCACATCTTTGTCAATTAATTGTTTTTCCTCGGCGAAGAAATTTCAGGCGAGATTAAGGGCGTTCTTAATGGGATTCCATTCTTTTCAAAGTTTGATTAGTGAGCATCATCACATCTTTGTCAATTAATTGTTTTTCCTCGGCGAAGAAATTTCAGGCAAGATTAAGGGCGTTCTTAATGAATTGGTTCGCCGCTTGCCTATGCGAGAACAGAGGAAACGAGCCCTGATTTTATATCTGTATGTATATGTATATATATATACCTTACAATATAAAAAGAAAGTGACTGAGATGGAGCAATTACGGCCGCCGAAGTAGGTGTGGCTGAGGCGAAGGGCAATTACGGCCGTCTAATGACTACTCGTTCCCTCTCTCTACGCTCATACCTGTTGATTTCAGAACCGCCGCAAGCACCGTCGTTCCATCCCGCCAAGTATTGTAGGCTAATCACAGATGGTTGTTTCTAGGAGTTGGATGTTGCTAGACCAAAGTGGGCATGGTACGATTCTTGATCTGGACAAGTATGCCATAATGCGACGTGTGTCGATTAATGCTAGAGATCTTCGAATTCTTGATCCTCTCCTCTCTTGTCCTTCTACAATTCTTACCCGAGAAAGAGCAATCATTATCAATTTGGAGGTCAATTTCTAGAACACCTGGTATCCATTTCCATCTTTGCCTTAATCATTCCTCTATTTGTTGCTTAAATTGTTTTTGTTTCAATTATGTTTCAGCACATCAACGCAATTATTACAACTGAAGAGGTATGCTCTCTCTCTCTCAAATTCCAAAATTAATCTTTCATAGCTTGCCAACATTCTCGCCGTCACTGTGGTCCCCGATTAAAGCCATGTTTGGATAATTACAAGATTAAAGCCATGTTTGGATATTGAAGTCAAAGGTTGGAAATTAAGGGCACTTTTGTCCTTTCATGCTTCTAAGGACAGTATGGTCTTTTAAAAAAATTTAACCAAATTTAAGAGACAATTCTCACCAGACCTTGGCCGGAGGGGATGATCTGTAACTTTTTTACATAATTCAGGAGATATTTTGCATTTTTGATAGTTGAGGAGGTTACTTATAGGTTTCTCCATAATTCAGGAAGATTTTTTTGCATTTTACCTTAAAAATAATTCACTAAATTGATATATATAGTTAACCATGGAGTAAATACTACAGTAAAACACTGGTTCATACCACCTACTCTGTGGTGTAGTCACTCTTTGTCAGAACTAGTTAAAGTACTAAACACGTCCTTCTGAAAAAAGGTAATGTATTTATTTCACCTTGGAGCAAGTACTACAGTAAGAAGAATTAAGGTAAAAGAACACCTACCCTTTGTTATATATATAAAAGAGAGCTACTCTACAATATATATAAGAAAGTACTGACTTGTATTCCGCACCAACTCAATAATTCAATATGTACATTGAAAATGTCCATACGCAGAACTGAAATTTTGGTCCCACTTCATGAAGACACTGCTATAAAATTGGCTTTTGACTATATGGTTATGTGACAAAAACCTATATCATGAATCATGTCTTCACCGACTGTTCTTTATTTATTTATTTATTATTTTTTCGATCTCAAATTAATATATTTTTTTTTTAATTGTAATTGTTATAGAGTCAATTACCATGTGATACTTCAGCCAATGCCCAAGAGATGTACAAGTTTTTAGATAAAATTGTATATTTTTAGCTAGAAATTAAAAGATATATGCAAAAAAAAGCCAATATTAAGTGTGGAGTTAAGAAGAGAAATATGATTCATTGAAAGTAATGCAAAGAAAATGACTGATAAAAAATTGTTTGTTGTTGTTGTTGTTGTATTATTATTAATTATGTGTAATCTGTGTTTCAGATTCAGCCTGTTTGTGGCTCAAGTGAGAAAATGAAATTTTATTATATGTTACTACTTTAATATACAACATGGTAAAAACCTAGAGTGACAAAGCTCGATCAATATTTTCACTTAAATCTTTTTATTCTTTTATTATAAGAATAACCCAAATCCACCCCCAAACACAACCACCTAATCAATCCAAACACCCATTCTCTCTCATGGAAGAACTTTGTAAGCTCTCATCTGCTCAATCCAAAAAACAAACGACTTCTTGGAGTCCCTAAAACCCAAAAACCCATGCTCTTTGCTCTTGTTCACACCATTCACCAAATTCTGCGAACCAAACACAACATCAGCAAACCACCACTGCGCAACATCCTCCAACTTGGTCTCCACCAGTCCCTTCTCTCTCACAATCTCATCCCACACTGGACCCTTGTCCTTCATCATCTCCTGCAAGCTCATCCTCTTCTGTCCCTCCTCATACCCAACGAGCTCGACCCCGAATTCCTCCGCCAAGATCTCCCACATTTGCTTCCACTTGAACACATCCCCATTACTAACATTAAACGTTTCATTTTTACCGCCATCATCCACAGCTGACCATATCTGCTGCTCCGCGATCAAATCCGCGTCAGCTCCGTCAGCATACACGTTCCACGAGTCCCTCGGATTGTCTCGTGCTCCGGGGTAGATCAGTGGCTTGTTCTCGTGTTTACATATCACGGCGTACACTGAGAGCGCGCCAATTATGTTCATCATGCTATAAGGAGAGAAGCCAAACACCAATGCAGGTCTATGCACCGACCAAGTGAGCCCTTTTTTCTTGGAGGCTTCTTCTACTAGAATGTCTTCGAGGTCGTGGTAAAAGTTGGGAGTGTCGAGTCGAGGCATGTCTTCCGTGAAAGGCGAGTCGTGTGGCTGGACACCGCTGTCGGGATCGAATGGTCCGGTGTAGTGCTTGATGCCGGTTTGGAGGCAAATGTGGCGGATATTGGGGGCGTTGGGGATGACGGCCTTGAGCACATTGTGGAACATGGCTGCGTTGATGTCGCAGTCCTCCGTGCCGGTCCATGCCACGTAGAAGATGTGGGTGATGTCTGTGAGAGGGGAGAGCTTGGCCATTGTGTCTTGGGCGTCAGCTACGTCACATTGGATGTATTGAAGTGGGCGGTTTGAATACCAGGTAGGGCGTGGGCGGCGAGCAGCACCATAGACCTTCCATGGACCGCCCGGTGTGTCATGTAACGGGAGGATTTCGGCCAAGCTGTTGCCGACTATGCCGGTCACCCCGATGATCAGAGCCACGCTCGTATAATCTTTTGAGACTCCATTTTCTACCAATTCCTTCTGCAAATGAAAGTTTCTCTTATGATTAATATCATCAATTTTTTAAGATAGATTTATCATGTCTTTATTACTTAAATTTTTTTTAAAAAAATTATATTTAAATTAAATTATCAAAAACATTTAATTAAATCAACGTTTAATCCTAAAAAAACCAATTCAACATTGCACAAGTACTCTAATATATGAAAGTTATGTAACACAAACACTAATTATAAGTACCTTTTCAGCGCCCAGGGATCTAGCCCACCACCAACTCATTGTGCGAGATTGTTGGAGGCAAAGACAGGGAGGAAAAATAAAATGTTATGAATTAAGGTGTTATAGAGAGTAGTGAAAGAGAGAGTAGGACGTGAAAGGGAACACAGAAAATAGTAGACTTGTTGGGACTTATAAAGGACAGTTTGGTGATGGGTGATAAAAGATGACAAGAGTGGTTGTGGCCATACATTGAAGTTATATATATATATATATATATATAAATATCTTTCTCAGAACAAACAAACCACAATTCATTCTTAATAATATCATCATCTCAATTTGAAGAAGAACCAAAAGCTAATTTGGATCACTTTTTGATGATGGTGAATTACAAATAAATCAGCATGGATCACGTGGATGGTTTTATATTCCAAAAACCCTTTTGGTTAATCATTTGGATAATTTCATTGACAATATAAAAATAAAAAAATTAAAATTAATTAAAAATAAATGCAGCATGGATCGCGTGCAGTGTTTTAATATTAAGAAGGGAACAGGCTAAATATTACACAACTTATATAACTGAAGCAAAACTGATAATTTCTGTACGTACTTGACATGTATTAGTTACTAATTCTTCCAAGACGTCATAAAATTGATGAATGTAAATATTCATGTATACATGTGTAGTTATTTATTGGAGAAGTGCATAAAACAATCTTAAAGTCAACCACCTTCTATCATCACCATCACCACCACCACCACCGCCACCACCTTCTACCACTATCGCTGCCGTCGCCACCACTACCGCCGCCACCTTTCACCACCACCATTATCGTTAATTTAATTTAATTTATTTGTTACTAAGAGAGATATTTTAGAGAATTCAATTAAAAATTTATTACATTCTAAATTTTAAATTGGTCCAACCAAACACTAAAATGGTTATTATCATTTCATTCCTACACATTTCATATTTACAACCAAACAATAAAATGAGAATGATCATTCCATTCAATTCCCATTCTCATTCCATTCCATTCCTGCATACCAAACGCAGCATTAAAGTATATAACTTTTTCATTCTCTATTTTAAAAAGTGTACTAATAACTCCCTCTATTCTTTAAACTTTGTGCAAAAATACCCTTAAAAAAAAAAAAAAATCATACATTTTTATAACAGAAAATTGTTTCCATAGTTACAAATTAAGCAGGCCCAAAATATTTTTAAAATGACCATTTTACCCTTTTATTCTTTCAAAAATGCCCCAAAGGGGTGTGTATATTAATAATCTCATAGTAGAGGAGTGTAATGTGCACATTAACTAAATTTAACCCACTTTTAAGGATTTTCTCTTACCTTTCAAAAAATAAAATCTAATAAATAATTTCTCTATATATTTCCGCTCACAATATATTATCTTTATGTATTATATCTCTCCGATTTGAAAGCTTTACATTTCCTAGGACTTAATGGCTAATGTCACTCATAAATTAAAAAGTTCTAATATATAAATTTATTTTACCATTCAAATGGAGATAAGAAAAATATATGTTCCCATATGATGAGTGCCGAAATATGCACATTTCGGCCTTTATTCTTATGATTGTTAGCACTTTAATCATATCCTTATTTATTATTTAGTACTTATTTGCATTATTGTCATTTTCAAGTTAGTACATCGAAAAAAGGGTTCATCCCAGTGCATTAAAGTCTTTGTGGAGTCAATCAAAATGCAACGAAGATGGAAAGTTCCAGAAAAAGCCCAAGTGGAAATTCACGATCGATCCTGTGAACTTACGATCGATCTTGGGAATTCATGATCGATCGTGTTCAAAATATGATTTATCGTAGGAAATTCACGATCGATCGTAAGTCGGGTAGAATCATTTAAAGTTAATTTTTCGGGCTCCAATTACGGGGAGCCAAGGTCTGCGAGATTGCCTAACGTGAATGTACGGGTCTGACTCATTTTGGCCTCCAAGATTCACCTATAAATACAAGATTGAGCCCATTTTGCAAGGGTTGGAATTTTTGGAAGCTAAGAAGAATTCTAGATCTACTTTCTTTCTTTAGGGTTTCTCTCAAGGAAGAAAAAAATAAACCCAAGCTTGAAGATGGATTGTGAGACCACCATAATGACATCTACCTTCTCCATGAGTGGCTAGTTCTTCACTTAGGACTTGGATGAGCCCTAAGTTTGTGTAATTAAACCTTTTGTCTTTCAATTTTGGGGATTATGAATTATAATTAGTGCTTGGTCTTATGAATTCAAACTTGGTTGTACCAAGGTTTATATTGATAATTCTTTCAATTGATTCTCTATATTGATTACATGTTGTCTTATGTGTGATTAATTGAGAATTGATTTCTACATTGAGTACTTTCTATAATTCTACTTAATGATGACCATGCATGGTTTCTATTTGATACTTTAGTTTGATGAATTATGCTTAGTCTTGAAGGGTTGTGCTACAGTATCTTAGAGTAATTGTAGTTAGGTAAACAATTCATGCTTTGTTTTGATAGTTCATACTTATTCATTGCCATTTGTATTATCTTCTTAAATATTGATGTGTACTTGTAGCTACATTCCTATTATAATATGTTTTTCCCATTAATTAAAGGCATTTGGCATAATTGCAAGAGTTTAGTGGTGTAATCCATACCCTAATTCTCTCTCTCATTATCACCTTAATCAAGTTTATCTTAGTTCAATTAATTTGCGTGCTTTCACATTGAATTAATTATTAGTTTAACCAAAACAACAATATCTTTTCAATCTCACGTTCGATGTTGAATTAAATTCCAAGCCAATAATCCCAATGGACGATCCCTACTCACTATATTAGCGTATAGTTGTTTAGTGGTTTTACAAATTTAAAAGTTGATATCCCATTTGCCACCTATAAACACCTATTTTGATTGACACACTTGGGTCACATCACCATAGTTGTCATATTAATGTTGAGTTGTATATCATATGGAATGAAAATCTTAGTTCTTTTTATAATTATTAAAAAAAATAATAATTTCTAATTAAAATTTAATATGATTATTATTTTTCTTTAAAGGTATAATTTAAAAATTAAATTAAAGATACTTATTCATTATATATATATATATATATATATATATATATATATAACATACAGAATTTGCAATAAATTTTCACAAATATAAATTATTCTTTACATAGCAATAAATGGGTGTTCAAATTCAAAACAATAACAATTTCTAGGGTAAAGTGTAGATCAAAAACACCCCTACATTATAGTTACTCTGCGCATCACACCCCTTGTGTTTATTTTCATAATTTCACAAAATATGTATTTTTAAATAATTAATATGTTAAATGAATATATAAGGGCAATTTAGTCAAATTATAGGTTAAATGTGTCAAAAGGGACCTATTTGCACAAATTAAAAACTTTAAGGGTGTTTACTACACGTGAGGGGTGCAATACGCATTGTAAGTATACTATAGAGGTGTTTTTTGCACTTGACCCTTATATATCAAGGCTATACATATGTAGCCTTAGGAAAATTCTGCAAAAATGCCAATCGTAATCAGCCTTAGGAAAATGAATGAATTTGCAGCAGAAATTGAGCATTATATTACGATTGGCATTTTTGCAGAATTTTTTTTATGACTGGAGTACAATACGTGGGAATAAATTTTGTTTCTTAAAAATGTTTCAATTGTGAGTATGGAAAGAAAGAAGTTGGAACCTAAGAATTTTTTTTCTTTTTTTTTTAAAGTTCAATATCAATGTATAAATATAAGTAGAATCTACAGCCCAAATAGGGAAGGTTAGCCTTGACTAACCAAATTAAAACCTACACAAAACAAAGGAAACCTCAAATAAGAGGCCCATCCCCCAAGTCATAATCAATCAACTAACAAAAGAAAACAATGTAACTCTAATGCAGTTACCCAATCCGATAGAGATCAAATAAAAGTAAGGAGTTCCCATTATGAGATTAGACGTCTAGCTAATGGTGAGTCGTCAATGCTTGCAGACATCAACTTTAATCCTATCAATTCCAAGGTTCGAGCCAGAACTAAGTTCGCAAAAAGCCTCTTCTTTTAAAAGATTCTCCAATTTTGTTCACTCCAAATGTTGTAGACAAATAATATTAATAAGAACTCTACAATCATTTGCTTTTAGGATAGAAGAGATTAAAGGCACACCAAGGTAACTCATAGGTAGGGATCCAACTTCAAAGCCAAGAAGTAAAAGAATGAAGGATTGAATATGTTCATTAACACTAGAGAAGAAAACATAGCTCTTGGATCGATTGATATGCAGACCAGAGAGAGATGAAAATTTATCAATTACTTGCTTGAAGGTGTGGATAGAGGTGAGACTACCATAGCAAAAGAGAAGAAAATCATCTGCAATTACTAAATGCGTGAGTGATAACTCTTTGCACCTCTAGTGGAATTTGAATGGTAGTTCTCTGGTGAACTTGTTGGCAATTGTTGAAACCTACATAACAATTACAAAGAGGAAAGGGAATAATCGATCTCCTTGCTTCAGTCCCTTGCAACCTTTGAAAAAACTGTAGAACTTCCCATTGACGGAGATTATGAAAAATGGAGTAGTGACACATGAGTGGATCCAAGAAATAAATAGACTAGGGAATCCCAATAGCTTCAAGGTTTCAAAAAGGAAGTCCTAATAAACAGAGTCAAATGTCTTCCTAATGTCAATCTTGAGTACACATCTTGGTGACTTTCCTTGTCTGTTATAGCCATTCAGAAGCTCTTAGGCAAGAAATATGTTATCGTTAATTTGTCTGCAATAAATGAAGGCAGATTGGGATGGTCCAGTGAGGTGAGGTAATATAGGCTTAAGTTTATTGGCTAGGAGCTTGGATATGCATTTGTAGATGGTGGAACAACATGTTATTGGTCCAAACTCATTGGGGGATATAGGGATAGTTACTTTAGGGACAAAAGAGAAATAGGTTGAATTTATTTTTTTAAGGAGTTTCCCATTGAGGAAAAACTCTCTAATAGCTTTGGTCACATCATAACCAATGATTAGCCATACTATCTTAAAGAAATGGGCATTAAACCCATCAGGTCATAAAGCTTTGTCATTATTTAGTGAGAACATACATTGCTAAATTTCCAAATCAGTGGGGATTGAACAAAGTGATGGGATGAATAAGGGTGAGAGAGATGAATGTAATAATGG